TTGCCACCAATACGTGCCTAGGGTGGGGAGAATGAATCATTTCGCTGTACCAGCAAGCCGCTCACCCAGGTTCTCTAGGATCACAACCCTGACATTAGGGCACTTACTTCGTGCTACCCATTGACCTGCGAGTGTCTAAATGAGCCTTCACAAAGTCCCTGCTGGCCCAGCCCGCCTGTGCTCTGTTTGCTGAGATTATTGTCTTCCAGCTTCAGCAGCAAAGCTGTGCTGTCATGTAACCCACTTTTTGCTGCAGCATCCTTATCACTCAGACTAACCAAACAGCCAGCTTGTCAGGATGCCAACAGTTCTGAGGAGTACAGTGTGCATTACAACAAATCCCATGCTTTGAAAAGGCCTTCAGAAAGATCAAGTCATAAAACATCTAGCAATTAATTATAAGGAAATAACTGAAGATATGCACATATGCCCAGAACACTTTTATTTAAATTAATTGCATCTACATTTTAAACATGCCTTCACTTTCTTGTGCATTCAATTTATATAACTCAAATGTAAATTTATATTATTTGTTGAACATCTAGTATTTTTCCCCACCTTGTTCCAGGTACTGTGGAAGATACATAAAGAAGCTAATTTTGTCTGGAATGTGGGATTTATCAATAGGGGTTTAAGGTAAGTATAACACTGTTAAAATTGCTATGCTATTACTTTAAAACACAAAGTGCCAGGTATTATTTAAAATATATTGTCACTGATTTTCACATCATCTCTTTGAGGGACTGTATTGTTAATTTCTTTTTGTATTATTATTTTTATTTTTTCTACTTAGTTGTACATGACAGCAGAATGCATTTCAATTCACTGTACACAAATGGAGCACAACATTTAAATTCTCTGGTTGAATGGGTGTAGAGACACACCATTTGTGCAGTCATATATGTATCTAGGGTAATGCTGTCCATCTCATTCCACCATCTTTGTATTGTTAATTGCTACCTTTCTTTGCTAATGGAACTAAGCAACAGAGAAGTTAAACAACTTGCCTGAGGTCACATAGCTACTGTGTGATGGCAGTGAGATTGAAAACCTGGTATTCTGACTTGAGAATCCAAGCTCCTAACCATTGAGAATGAATGCATGGAGTTCTAAAATTAGTACTTATTTTTGAGGAGCCACTATCTTTTTTTTCTTGTAAAACTAACACTAAAGATCAGACTTTCTATACATCTGTGGGTCCCCTAAACTTAAGAATTTTATTGGGCCAACAATTCCACAGATAGGACTCTCCAAATTGTTTTTAGTGTTTTAGTTTTAGGCTGTTTGCCTGCCTACATAGAAAAGAAAACTATAGTAATATTACCATAGAAGTTTCTGTTGGTTAATCCCTTCATTAAAAAACAAGGTGTATTGTGCATCTATAATATGCCAGGCATTATGCTGAGAATTAGAAGACATGTAAATAAGAGTAAGACACAATACTTTCCCTTAAGGAGCTAATATCAATCTTAGGGATCTACTCTAATAGTTTTATTTAATCTTAATCACTGCCAACTGCCATCTCAAAATACTGTAGTCAGATTAAATTTCCATCCTCTTAGTCAACAATACAGATTAAATTTCAATAAGTGAAGCCTCAGGGACACTCAAGCCAAATCCAAACTGTAGCATCTTCTCAGAGCTTGTATCTTTAGTGCAACAATCCCTTTACCACTCATTCTGTCAACACAAGTACAGAGTGGGGGTGTTCTTTTTTATTAGGACTGACATTTGAAAATCTTGATATGAGACTGCTATGATAAAAATCAATCAGGGAATCATAGCTTTCATTAAAGAGTTCATGGTTTTCCATTTGGAAGTCTTTCTTTAACTTAAGGACTTATATCAATTTATCCTCTCTTCCTTTCCTAAAGTCTTATATCAATTTATCCTCTCTTCCTTTCCTAAAGTCTCAGTATCCTCCTTATGTAGATGGTCAAATACTCCAACTGTGCCTTTGATTCTGTTTCCTTTTTCTCCTTGCTCTGCTTGATCTGTCCTTGTTTTGAATCTTAACCATTCTCCTTTTCTTATTGGCTTTTTAAAACTTTAGCCTATAAATCTCTCTTATCCTAAGAATATTTTTTCTATCGACTTCTTGTCCTTCTCCAACAACTGTGTGCTATAGTTTGTGTCCTTCTAAATTCATGTATTGAAATATTAATTCCCCATTGCAGCAGTGTTGGGAGGTGGGACCCAAAAAGTGGTAATTAGGTCAGAAGGGCTCTGTCCTCAAGAGTAAGTATATCAATGTGATTATCATGGGAGTGAGTTATAAAATCAAGTTCCAGTCCCCTTTTGCCTTTCTACCACAGGTTGATGTAACAACAAAGACCTCACTAAATGTTAATGCCATACTCTTGGACTTCCCAGCTTATAGAATCTTGAGCCAAATAAATTTCTGTTTATTAGAAATCACCTCATCTGGGTTATTCTGTTATAGCAGCCCCAAATGGACAAAGATATTACCTAATATTTTTCATTTTTAAAGCATACATACACACACACACACACCTTATTGCTTAAAACATTTTGAGGTTTACAAAAAAGTTACAAAAATAGTACAGAGAATTCCCATAAAGTCCATACTATATCATTAACATCTTGTATTAATTTCTATGACTCACTTGTTAATTACTTAATATTCATACCTATTATTAACTAAAGTCCACACTTTCTTCACATTTTCTTATATTTTCCTATTTTTTTTTTCTGTTCAAGATCCTACTCAGGTTACAATGTTACATTAAGTCACCATGTCCCTAGGCTCTCTTGGCTGAGACATTTTCTCAGACTTGTTTATAATGGCCTTGATAATTTTGAGCACTACTAGTCTGGTATTTTATAAAATCTTCCTTTATTGGGATTTATTTGATATTTTCCTCATGATTAGCTGGGGTTATAGATTATCAGGAAAAAGACCAAAGAGGCAAAGTATTGTCATTACATCATGTCATGGGACCTACGGCTTATCACTGTTGAGGTTGACTTTGATCATCTGGCTAAGATAGTGTTTGTTAGGTTTTTCCACTGCGGTATTCTTCCCTCTCTCCTCACCCCTCTTTGTCTTTCTGTAGTCTTTGGAAGGAAGTCACTATGCACAGTGTACTTAAAGAGTAGAAAAGTTAGACTCCACTTCCTTGAGGATGGAGTATCTGAGTAAATCATTTAGAATTCTACATGGGACATTTGCCTTTTCCACTTATTATATTCACTTTAAAAACTTACGTGCAATCATATGGTAATAAAAAAATAAAAAAATAATTTAAAAAACCACAAAACTTACGTGCAATAAAAAGCACTCTTTTTGATGTATATAGTTCTATGATTTTTTTCCCAACAAAATGTTTACTTAAGAAAACTTCAAAATAGCACACACAACATATTAACATCTGTATAAAACTTGCGTGCACATAATATTGATGCATAGAAATACAGTTTTAGTTGGGTTCCAATATTTCTATGAATTTTGACAAACATGTTCAGTCATGTCATCACCACCAAAATCAAGATGTAGAACTATTCTTATTACCCTCAAAATTCTTTCATCCATTTCTTTTTGCCCAACTACTCCCCCATCATGACCCTTCCTTGGCAACCAGTAAAAATTTTTCTATACCTATTGTTTTTCCTTTTTTGGAATGTTATATAAGTAGAATCATACAGTATATAGCATTTTGGTTCTGGCATATTTTGTTATCATACATTTTAATTAATCTTATGTATATCATAAGTTCATTTCATATTAATGGAGGGTAGCATCCCATTGTATGATGAACCAGTTTATCCATTCACCAGCTGAGGGTCATTAGAGCTGTGTCTAGTGTCTATTTTGTGGTGATTATAAATAAATGTACTAAAAACATTTATGTACAGGTAATATGTATAGTAACTTTTATTTCACCTGGGTGAATATGATTTCTAGTGGTATGGTAAACGTATGTGTGACTTTTCAAGGAACTTGCAGAGTGTTTCCAAAGTGGATATATCATTTTTCATCCCAATCAGCAATGTCTGAGTGTTATAGTTGTTATACAATTTCTCCAGGACTTAGTATGAGCAACTTTTCATTTTATTTTGTTTTTGTCCATTGTAACAAGTAGAAATGGGTATTTCATTGATTTTCACTAAATTTTTATATTGATTAATAATGTTGCACTTTCCCCTCTGTGCTTATTTGCCATCTGTTTAATCTTTTTGGTAAAATGCCTATTAAATTCTTTATGCCTGTTTTAAAAAATTTGGATGTTTGTTTTGTCATTGAATTTTGAGAGTTCTTTATATATTTCAGATCAAATTCTTTTTCAGTTATGTAATTTACAAAAATTTTCTGCCAATCTCTGGCTTGTTCTTTAATTCTATTGACAGTATATTTTGTAGAACAGTGTTTTAATTTCATTAATTCCAATTTATTAATTTTTTATATTATAGGTTGTGCTCTTTATGCTGCCTAAGATCACAAGATTTTTCCTTATGTTTTATAAGAAGACTTTTATAGTTTTATTGTTTACATTTAGGTCTATCTATGATATGTTTTAAATAAATTTCTGCATAATGCATGAGATATGATTGATTTTCATTATTTTGTATATGGATGTCCAATTGTTCTAGCACTTTTTGTTGAAATGACTTTTCTTCATTGACTTTTGCCTCTGTACCTTTGTCAGAATTCAGTTGGCCATTATCATAGGCATTTACATATGTCCAAACCCATCAAACTGTACATATTAAATGTATTCAATTATTTATATATCAGTAAAAATTATTTATTCTTTTTATACCTCAATAAAACTGATAAAGAATTAATTGGTTACATTTGTGCAGGTCTGATTCTGGATTTCGATATTTTGGGTTTTGTCCATGGTTCTTTGCTTATAACTTCCTCCCCCAAATGGGAAACTTTAATCTTCTGCTTTTAGCTAGCTATAAAGAAACTCTCTGATGTACCTTGTCTGATATAAAGTTATTAACCCCACCTCATTTTAGAGGGGTTCTACCTCTTATTCTGTAGGAGGGAATGCTTCACAGAGAGACCAAGAAGAATCTGGACAGATAGTCCTTGCTGGTTTCCTTACCAAGTTTATTAGCTATCATGCCTAAACAACAAGTTTCCATAAAAAACCAAATGACAGGGTTTGAAGAGTTTCTATATAGATGAACATGTGAAGGCTTATAGGAAGGTGAACCAGGACTTGTACATGTGCCAGGAGGATGGTGTACCCCAACTCCACGGGATAGAAACTCCTGTACTCAGGACTCTTCCAGGCTTTGCCCTATGTATCTTTCCATCTAGCTACTTTTTTGTATCCTTTAAAACATCCTTTATAATAAACTGGAAAATATAAGGATTGTATTTTCCTGAATTTTGTGATTCACTCTGGCAAACTAACTGAACCTGAAGAGAGGGTCATGGAAATCCCAATTTGTAGCTGATTGGTCATAAGTTCTGGAGGCCTTAGACTTGCAACTGGGTCTGAAGTGTGGGGGCAGTCTTAGGGACTAAACCCTCAACCTATGGGATCTGATGCTACCTCCAGGTAGATAGTGTCAGAACTAAATTGGATTAGAGTATGTTCCACTGATGTTCACTGTAGAATTGCTTGCGGGCTGGTGGGGAGAAATCCATATATCTTTTAGGGTCACAGAAGTCTTCTGTGTTTATTGTATGAGAGCAGAGGGAAAACAGACATTTTGTTTTCTCAAAATGTAACCTCTACTGTTTTATTGGTTTGTCTCTATTCTTTGATCCATACTATATTGTTGTCTTCCTTAGTGCAGCTTTTAGGCCTTAAAAAAAAAAAACCAGATGGTATCAATTCTCTAATTACTTTTTTCAAAGTATTTTTTGGTATCCTTTGACTTTTATAAATTTGAGAATCATTTGATTTGAACAAAAAAATTCTGTTGGTATTTTAATTTGAATTGTGTTAAATCTTTCAATTAATCTCTGGTAATTGTCATTTTAACATTGACTCTCACAATTCATGAACATAGTATATCTCTTCATTTATTTAGGTCTTCTCTGACTTCTTTTATTGTTTGATACTTTTTAATTGTAGATCCTGCACACAGTTTGTTATATTTATACCCAAGTATGTCTTAGTTGTGTAGTTTTTATAATTTCAGTTTTTAATTGTTCATTGATAAAATGTGTGTGAGTGTGTGTATGTGTGTGCGCGCACATATGTGTGAGTGAACTAGAAATCGAATCCAGGACTTTGTGTGTGCTAGGCACATATTCTACTACTGAGGTACAACCCTAGCTCATACAATGCATTTTTATATTGCCCTTCTATCCTGTGACCTTCCTAAACTCAAATGTTATAGGAGGATTTATTTTTGTAGATACTTTAGGATTTTTTCATGTAGACAGTTGTTGTTTTGTTTGTGAACAATTTTACTTACTAGTTTCTGTGTTTGTCAGCTTTCCATTGCTACAACATATACCTGAGACCAACTTAAAAGCAGGAAAAGGTTTATTTTGGCTCATAGTTTCAGAAGTTTCAGTCAATGGTTGTTAGCTCTGTTGTATTCAGGTCTGTGGTGAGGCAAATCACTATGGCAGGGAGCATGTGGTGGAGCAAAGCTGCTCACATCAAGGCAGCCAGGAAGCAAAAAGGGAGAGGAAAGGCCTGGGTCCTAATATCCTCTTCAAGTGCATGCCCCCATGATCTTCCTTTTTTCCACTAGGCACTGCCTCTTAAAGTCTTCCAATAGCAGCAAGCCTACAACATATGAACCTTTAGAAACATTTAATATCCAAATCATAACAGTTTCTGATCTTTATTTTCTTAATTTTTTATAATTTATTTCTATGATTTCTAGTGTGATGTTGAAGAAGAGTGGTGAAAAGCAGACATCTAATTTTTGGGGAAAAGCATTCAAGTTTTTTAATGTTAAGTATAATGATTGCAGGAAGTTGTTTTTTTTTTTTTAAGATGCCCCTTATCAGATTAAGATGGTTTCTAGCCTGTAGCCAGCAATAACCCAGGATCTTTAGTTTTATAGTCACAGGAAAATGAATTCTGTAAACAATTTGAGTGACAAATTGAAAGTAGTTCTCCCTCAGCTATATTAATTTCCTAATGCTACTATAACAAATTACCAAAATTTAGTGGTTTAAAATAACACACATTTACTATCTCAAAAATCTAGGGATCACAAATTCAAAATGAGTCTTATAAGGATAAAGCCAAGGTTAGCAGGACTGAGTTCCTTTGTTCTGGGGAAGAATCTACTTTTTGCCTTTTCTAGCTTCTAAATGTGAACTGTATTCTTTAAATCGTGGTCCCTTCCTGTATTCTCAAAGCCAGCAAAGACTACTGGAATCTTCCTCATATCACATCACTCTGGCTTCTTTCATTGGCACATTTTCTTCTCTTAACTCTCCTGCCTGTTTCTTGCATAAAAATCCTTTTGATTACATTGGGCTCACTGAGATAATCCAGAATAATCCCCGTTTAGGATCTTTAATTTACTAATAATCTGCAAAGCCCCTACTGTAGTTTGGATCTGAAATGTACCCTAAAGGACATTTGATAAAGTCTTGGTCCTCAGCTTGGTACTATTTAGGGGGAGGTGTAGAATCTTTAAGAGGTGGGGATAGTGGGAGGTCTTCAGGTCATTAGGGACATAACCTTGGAGGGAATAGTGGAACTCTGGGCCCTCCCTCCTCCACTTTTACTTCCTGGCCATAAGATGAATGGTTTTAATCACAATGCATTCCTGCCATGATGTTCCACCACAGGACAAAGCAACAAATTCTGTGAAAGTGTGTAGATTCTCCTGTGAGTGGGTAGTTTCTTACAGAAGAGGGTTGATGCTCATGTAAGTGGGCATGGGTTTTTTTTTTTAATAGATTCTCATGCAAGTACATGGATCCTCATGGGAGTGGGTACTTGTATTTGGTAGTTAAAAATATGGCTTTTAAATAACACAGAATGTGCAACTATTTATGTTTTTCTATTAATAAGAATCATCCAGTGCTAGTCTTTGGGCTGGGCTATGATAATACCTACTTATGCTAGAGTTTCTACACTAAAGGCAATTTAATCTTATGAGGAAGTCAGATGTCATAGTAATAAAATATATATGAGTATAGTGTTCCAAAATTTGATAAATTTCTCAAAAAATGTAAAAAAAACCACCAAAATATAACTGAAATGAGACCACAGAAAATAGCAAATTTCTGCTTGAGGCAATCCAGCAAAGAGTTATAGATGAGATTCCATTTAACCTAGATACTACAAGATGAGCAGTAGTTTGGAAAGGGAAAAGAACAGGGGAGTGAAATTGCCATCAAAAAGATATGTAAACAAATGCATAATTTTTTTCAAGGAAGCATGGTATATTGGGAGACCAGTTAGAAATCTGGTATTTCCTCATGGAGGGCTGGCAAAAAGGCTGGAAGAATGCTTTATTTTGTTATCTGATGTGCAAATCTGACTATGTCATGTCTTTTTCTGGATCCACATTACTCATGGATAATGAAAGGATGAAAAAATTCCAGTGCTTGATTTATTAATTTCTTGCTTGGTGTAATGTGATGGTCCCAGTTGTTAACATTTTGTAATTAATCTTTCCAACAACATTTTGGAACTGTACATATTAGGAAAGTGAGGAATGAGATATAACTTATGTGTATGGGGCAACTTAAACATTATTAAGCAGATAAGTGCATTTAATAAAAAGATATAGAAAGAACCTATGCTGGGAATAAAAACAATTAAAACAAGAAAAGGAAAAAGCCAGAAATAATAGCATTTCTGGTAAAATTTGATACATTTTAAGGTTATTGAACTCTATTTCTTATGAACAAAAAATCATAATAATTGAAAGTAATTGTGTAAACAATTATTTTATTACTCATAGGTCAAATTGGGAAGATTTCCAAATAACACTGGGAGTATTTCTATTCAAACATCTAATTAGTTGAATGTTCTCTGTGTTTAGCCCCAAATACCACATAATGTAAGTATATTTCAGTTTATGGGACACTTGGCCAGACTTTCCAAATCATAATGGGATACACAGGGTTTATTACTTGTAATTTCATCATTATTAAATTGAACATAATTATTATCAACCAATAATATACAGACTATATTGTTAAAGGGCCAAACCTAGATTTTAGGAAGACATAAAGACCCCTATTATTGGCCTACTTTTATTTCAAAATTATATTTAAATTACTTTTATGTTGATTTACAATACACTTTTACAAAATCAGCAGAAAATGCTGATTGAATTCAAGGCACAAGCAGTGACAAATTCTTAAAAATAAACTTTAAAGATATATATATATATGGAGCAAATAAATTATAATAATTAAAAGTAAATGTACTTATCTCCTAAGAAAATTAATGAATATATGTATAAAATAACATCAAATTGAAGTGTAAATATGAAAAATATGACTTCTAAAAATAATAATATTAGAAGGTTATGGCTAACAATTTAACATCTGTGAGGGAAAATTATAATTCTGGCATAATGAAAACAATGTGAAGTCTGAAATTGTGAAGAGTTGCGTTAGAATTCTTGTGTCTCAGCCACTTTCTGTGATGCCACTGCATTATCTGTAACATTCTGGGCTTCTATTTTCTAGAAGATAAAGTTGGCAAAACAGTGCTTAGCTCGAATAGCTTTTCCAGCAAATTATTAAAATATACAAGGATTCCAGCAAAATGGCCTTTTCATATTATGAGTGACCACGTATACTTTCTGTCCTTACTTAATATAAATATGATATGAGCTGAGTAAATAATCAAAATAAGTAACAGGTATATTGAGTTCTGTTTTTACTAATGTTCA